GAGAGAGAGAGAGAGAGAGAGAGAGAGAGAGAGAGAGAGAGAGAGAGAGTTGTGACTTTGGGACTTGACGACATTGGATCCTGACTCGACATTGGGATTCAGACATTTGACGAGGGATTATTTGGGGCCTGTGCCGAAGACATGGTGTTGACGACATTCCCATCTTCCCCTCTTCTTCGTCTAACCCCCCTCTTCTTCGTCTGTGTATGGTTGGGGACCGGCACATTCTTCCTGTGCGAGCGCCAGGCCCCTTCACACCATGGAATGATGATGATGTATGTTTGGGGCTGCATTGCAACATTGATTGTTCGGATCATTGGTATCTAAGTCTTCCGCTATGCTATCTTGTACTTTGTGAGAGAGGTCGGTTCTTTTTCTGGTCTGCACCTTCACAGTATGCGACACACATGTAGACCGTGATGTGGTGCATCTGCTAATGCTGCTGCAGCAGCATATGCAACCCCTGCAGCAACTGCAGAATTGGTGTGAGTGCAACAACTGTCCTACGCACACACACAAACATGCATGAAGTTGATAAACACAATGTGTGGTACACACACTCACACACACACACTTTCACACATACAAGGATATAGTCTGAAAAAAAAAAAAAAAAAAAAAAAGCAGATGAAATTCACCTTCAACGGAAGTGTCATGTGGTGCATCTGCTGCTGCAGCAGCATATGCAACCCCTGCAGCAGCTGCAGAATTGGTGTGAATGCAACAACTGTCGTACGCACACACACATGCATGAAGTTGACAAACACAGTGTGTGATACACACACTCACACACACACACTTTCACACATGTGAGGATATAGTCTGAAAATTTGAAGGGAAAAAAAAAGGAAAACAGATATGAAATTCACCCTTGCATTGGAAGAACCATAGGGAGCGAAAAGAAACAGTCTGCTTCTTCGAAAATGTAGAAATCAGAAAATTGAGAAAAACGTTATGCTTCAACAAAAACACGAAGCCTGCAAAGGTACGACACTCACATCATCCGGCCGGGAGCCAACAACCTGCAAAGCTGCAACACTTGCATCACGTGCCTGAAAGCCGACAACCTGCAAATCTACAACACCCACATCATGTGACCACATCGCAATTAGAGCGGACAAAGAGGACGTCATCCACCACGGACCGATTAAGCTGGTTTCTTTTCTTCGTGACAGTGTTTCCTACGTTCGAGAAATTGCACTCGCTCTTCAAACTGGATGCAGGAACACACAGGACTGCACGAGCAGCACGGGCCATGATCGGTAGTGGTGGGAGCAAGAGCTGGTCCTCTGGGTTCTTTGCAAGAGTCCCTTTCGCCTTCCACCACACAAGGATGTCAAACTTTTTCTTCTCTTCTTTTGTCAGCTTCAAGCTGAAGTAGAGCTCCAGCTCCTTTCTTATGCGTTGTGCCTGTGTCAATGGCCTTATACGAGCGATGGGTAAGTCCTCCTCCTCATCTTCGTCCGTACTACACAACGTTAGCTCGTCGGCGACCTCTCTTGTGGGCGTTTTCATCCTGCGCTTTAGTGGCCACCTCCCTTCTGTTGCTGCAGTTTCTTCGCTTGCCTCTGCACTTGTGTCTTTCACACTGTGCATAATCTCTTGCAAACAACTCGTTCCTCGCTCAACCTGGGTTTTCAACAACCTGAAACGATCCAACCTGTGCTTTTGTCGAGGGTCCAGCAAAGCTGCAGCAATGTGGAGATCATCCAAGATCCATTTCTCCTGCAGCACATGTTTGGTCAACATCTTCACAGCTATGATGTCGTCTGAGTCTGATGGGATGGTGAACTTCTTACCATCAGCTTCCTCGTCGTTGTATGGCTCATTACGCGGTTTGCAGTACTCCAAGAGAGCACTGCGCTCGAATGCTACAAGGTGCAGTGTCGGTTCTAGATGTTTCTCCAACCCAAGGGTGGCAGTCTGGAACCGTTTCAAGAACCGTGCCAACTCTGCAAGTGAGTTCTTGTCAATTCGTGTGATGAGAAACTGTTTGTTCGCCTGCCGATTCGTGTTGGCAAGCCTTGCAAGGACAATTGTCACATCATCATAACTGTCCAAAATGTTGTTTAGGGAAATCAGCAATGAATTCCACCGTGTTGCATTCTCCTGTTTCAGTGTTTTGCTCAAATAGTTTTGCAGGTTGGCTTGTTTGAAATACCTCACCAACTCCTTGGAGTTGTCGATCATTTCAAACAGGTGTGGTGCATATTTATGATACTTATAAAATGGCGCGGAGCGAACTCCGTCTGTTGTGATTGTCGTTTTGTTGAACACTGTTGTCAGGACGGTCGCGATTTTATGGTCTGAGCACGCCATCCACTTGTAAACTTTTCGGATCCCTTCTGTTGCAGCCATGTTCGACCCACTGTCTGTGCACACCACACATTTGTCAGCATCTGTGCAACTGAATTCTTGAAGGCACTCTTGGAATGCCTTGAGAACGGCTGGTCAGGTGTGTGAATCCTCGTGGAACGCTCGAACCTGCAAATTGCGCACATGCAATTTAAACGTGACGTCGATATAAGGCATGGTGATAGACGTAAATGAGTTTTTTTACAAAGAGGCGCATGAGGCCTGCTCCTTCTGGCTCCTTGTGACAGTTGTGCTGTTGCAAAGTACTTGTCCCATGTGCAGAGCTGAAGCAGCGGTTGCAGGTCACATATCCGTTGTTGTGCTCCCGTACGGGGGCGCCATCAGCGGAACGGACATGGGTAAATGATTTCCAGATCTCGAAAGAGTTTTCGTTCTCATCTATTAAAATAAAAGGAGGGTTGGTTCCTCCTTTTTTAAGCGATGTCTGAACGACCACTTTAAAATGTTTCACATCAGTGGTCGTCACAGATGCAGTCCCTGTGCTTTTGTTGTGCTCCACCACCGCCGTTTTCTGTTTGGGGTCAGACTATCTGAATCGTCTGATGACCCAAACCCCTCTTGCCGAGCAGGATCCATCAACAAGTGGGTAGTTGTGGCTCTATGATGTGAATCACAGCACCGTACGCCTCACAATGCCACACCGCTGAGCTGTTATAACAGGCCCAAGTCCAATGGCACACCGCCGAGCTGTTATAATACAGGCTCAAGTTCGAATCGAGACACTCACAAAGGAAAAAAAAAAAAAAAAAAAGGAAATAATAGAAGCGTGGAACAAAAGACAGCGACAAAATCCGCAAAGATTTGTCGCACCGAATCACTGATAAACTGATAAGGTATTAATTAATGAAAACGAATGTCTGGACCGAATCCAGAGAATCCTTGCCACCCTTGGCCCGATGCATTCTCACTAAGCTTGCAACTTCAACACGTTCATTGGAACCTGCACAACCAAAACAACACATGCCATGCACACACATGGTTGTTCAGCCCGTGCACTCTCAACCCCCTCCTTCACCCTTTCCCCTCAACCCCCTGTGCTTAAGAACTGAACGTAAATTGCCCGTGAGGCAGCTCTGTATCGCTTCATTCACTTTCAGACACTTTCAGACGGCTGACTGCCACGTCTCATAAACTTTCAGACAATCACCGTAGCATCTTGTCTCGGACCACAATCACAACATAAGGGAACACTTTCAGACAATCACTGTAGCATCCTGTCTCAGCCCCCTGAGTTGGAGAAGGGGACAACAGAAGACCATTCTGACCAAAAAAAAAAAAAAAAAAAAAAAAACAGGGTTTGGGGCCTTTTGGTCCTTGCTGCAGGCGGAAAAAAAAAAAAAGAAAGGCGGAGAGCGGGTGTTGTGACATCTACAACGATGGGATTCGACATTCTGGCAAGATGGAGGAGGAGGAGGAGTTTCCGATAATGGAGGAGGGGGGGGAGGAGGAGGAGGAGGAGGTCCCGAGGAGGTCTCGATGGAGGAGGACGAGGTCCCGACTATGGAGGAGGAGGAGGAGGAGGAGGAGGAGGTCCCGACTATGGAGGAGGAAGCAGAGGAGGAGGTACCGACCAATCAATCAATCAATCAATCAATCAATCAATCAATCCATCAAGGAATCCCCTCGAATCTATTGATTCGGTATGATCTTCTATTGATTCGATAGGATCTTGAACTGTTAAGATCCTGTCGAATCAATAGATTCGACGGGATTGATTGNTGTCGAATCAATAGATTCGACGGGATTGATTGATTGATTGATTGATTGATTGGTTGGTTGGTTGGTTGATTGATTGATTGATTGATTGATTGATTGATTGATTGATTGCGACGGTAAAGGTGAAAAAAAAAAGAAAAAAAAGGAGGAGAGCGGGGGTTGTGACGTCTACAACGACGGGATTCGACATTCTGACAAGATGGAGGAGGAGTTCCTGACAATGGAGGAGGAGGGGGAGGTGGAGGAGGAGGAGGAGGTCCTGATGGAGGAGGAAGTCCTGATGGAGGAGGAGGACTCGACTATGGAGGAGGAGGTCCCGATGGAGGAGGACGTTCGGTGGAGGAGGAGGTCTCGACGACGATGGAGGAGGAGGAGGAGGAGGAGAAGGAGGAGGAGGAGGTCCTGACTATGGAGGAGGAAGCGGAGGAGGAGGTCCCGACCAATCAATCAATCAATCAATCAATCAATCAATCAATCAAGGAATCCCGTCGAATCTATTGATTCGATAGGATCTTGAACTATCAAGATTCGACGGGATTGATTGATTGATTGCGACGGTAAAGGCGAAAAAAAAAAAGAAAGAAAAGGAGGAGAGCGGGGGTTGTGACGTCTACAACGACGGGATTCGACATTCTGTCGAGATGGAGAAGGACGAGGAGTTCCCGACAATGGAGGAGGAGGAGGAGGCCCCGATGGAGGAGGAGGTCCCGATGGAGTAGGAGGTCCTGATGTAGTAGTAGGAGGAGGTCCCGACTATGGAGGAGGAGGAGGAGGAGG